AATTTCATTTATTAGCTTCATTGACCAGAGGTCTTAAGCCAAATGGTGGCTATTTCTAGGTCAGAACCACCTGCCAACTGCAAGCCCTACAGGACAATGGCTTTGCTCAGCTTCCTGGACCATGGGGCTGGTGCCACATTGGAGAACACCACTCAGAAGACCCATAGGTGGAATGTCTAGGAGCCACATGTGGCTCCTGAGCCATTGCGTATCACAGTTGGATCCTAACATTCCCATCAGGAGAAAGGCTGCAGGAGTCTCTGTGTAGAGCATAATAATCACATCTGAAGGTTAATAAACTGGATAATTACTCTCTAAGTATGATCTCTCTTGCAGAATAAAGCAGTTCCTGACTTCAGTTTCAGAAACATACTACTGTCGAAAAATCTCCCTTAATTTGGTTCAAAAATGACGGGCATATGCCATTAATAATTAGATGCTGGGTCACAAAGTAAGTATTTCCAGATAGCATCTCACTTGTATAGTACAGAATAAGATCAAGGCCAGAACCAGTGGGATGAAAGAATATGGGGATTTATGGCATGTCATTCCTGTTCAATTGGCAAACATTCCAGTTCAGGTTTACAGGAGTATTGTCCCATGATCTCTTTGCAATGAGAGGTGTTTAAGCAAGTGAGAATCAGAGCCAGTTCCAGGTTTTTTGTAGTCCCTGGGTGAGAGAATATAACCAGCCCCCCTTTTTCATTTTGGGTTGCTGTTGGGAGGAAAGACAGGATACAATGAAGTTAATAAACAAATAACTGAAAAGAACCCCAAGAGGCAGATTAGAAAAAGCTATTGTGGTTCAGTCATGATTACACAGTGAGTCTAGATTAAGGCAGAGTGTGGAATTTTTTTAAATCTATCTTTAAAGGTCCATGTCTAACACTATTATCAAGTACTTCTCACCAATCACTTTTCAATTCTAGTACAGCAGATGCTGTAGGTGCAAAGGCTGGTAACTAAAAAGTAAAGGTAAAGATTTCCCTTGCTCGAAAGCCAGTCGAATCCAACTCTAGGGTGCGGTGCTCATTTCTGTTTCCAAGCTGAAGAGCCAGCATTGTCCGAAGACTTTTCCATGGTCATCTGGCTGGCATTACTAAACACAGAACGCTGTTACCTATTTATCTACTTGCAATTTCTTGCTTTCGAACTGCTAGGTTGGCAGGAGCTGGGGCCAGAGAGAGAAGCTCACTCTGTCACGTAGTATTAGGGTCTTGAACTGCTGAGCTACTGACCTTCTGGTCTGCAGTGCAACAACATGGAAAATGATGTAATTTCATGGTGTTTTGTTCATTCAGACTGTGAACATTAGATCTCATGGGCCATGACGGGCCATGACGGACTGTGAACATTAGATCTCATGGGCCATGACGGCGAAGAAAGCTAATGCAATCTTAGGATGCATTAACAGAAGCATTGTGTCCAGATCACGGGAGGTGGTAGTTCTGCTCTATTCTGCTATGGTCAGGCCTCACCTGGAGTACTGTGTCCAGTTTTAGGCACCACATTTTAGGAAGGATGTTGACAAACTTGAGCATGTCCAGAAGAGGGCAACCAGGATGGTGAGAAGGTTGGAATCCAAGTCTTATGAGGAAAGGCTGAAAGAGTTGGGTATGTTTGGCATAGCCTGCAGAGTGCAGGGGGTTGGATTAGATGACCTGCAAGGTCCCTTCCAACTCTAACATTCTATGATTCTATGGTAGTTCATTAAAAAGGACAGAAAATGTCCTATTTATTAAGACTAAAAGTCACAGCTATATTTTTGAATTTTGTTTTAAATATTAATTTCCTCAGGATTTCATCATAGATCTGCAATTGAAAGTTATCTCAGAATATAATGTCATATTTTGGTAGTCCTAGAATTACCATGTGTCAGAAAATCTCAGTCTTTTTTGTGCATGAATCTTGTAGCTTCACAAAATAGTACTGAGTCATCTCAGCTCTATGACAGCTTTTCACTATCAAAAGTATAGGCAGAGGTACCTGTATTCCCAGTCTTGACCAACACAGACTGAACATGCCAGGTTGTTGCCCTGCAATAGCCTTGTGCAGCATCTATAAGGCTATGGACTATGGCTGTGAGCTGAACTGTATAAGTGTGCCAGGGATTGGACTGTGCAGTAGCCTGATGATGGTGCCAACCTCCCGGACTGTAGACATGTGCCCAGCCAAGGGAAGCCTTGCCCTGAAGCAGTGTGCCAGCCAGATGTGGACCCGTGGACATACCTGATGCTCATCACCCCTGCATTCATACAGGAGGCAAATCAACCTCCCTGATGCCAAAAACATGCAGTAGCCAGCAAGCAGAAGCCATGCTTTACACCAGAAGCCTGAGTGTTTCTGCAAAGGACTCCATAGGAGGACGACTTCTCCAGCATGCAGGCATCCTCCCCCCACCTTCTCCTAGCTTCACCAGGAACTGCACATACCCATCCTCAAGTTAAACAATAGAACTTGGCCATGACAGGATTAACAGAGCTGCCGAGCACACCCACCACCCACCAAGATAACGCAGCTGCAGATCATTGGATTGTTGACTCTAGTGACTGGCCAACCACCGGGAATGATTATCTTTTCTTTTCCTTTGTCTTAAGCCATCCACTCTAAGAGGTGTCACCATTAGTAAACATTATATCAATTGCCCAACACTTAATTCTATTCTCCTGACCCATTAAGGAACTGGCAGCTTCTAGCATCTTCCTGGGGACTATGTGCCTTAGTGGCTCATGCCCCAAGCCTCTCTTAATGTATATAAGAAAAGCATCTGCCCATTGCGCTCTCTCTCTCTCTCTCTCTCTCTCTCTCTCTCTTCCTACTTATCTGACCCCACCCTATCTTGCTGACTCCATTTGTAGCGCTGTCTGGAGTCTATCCTGTGTGCTGCTGGTCAACACACGACCCTTTCCCTAATATTTTCCCCATTTTCCGCTGCAGGATCACCTCGTCACGTCAGACAGGTAGAGTATCACCCCCCATCATTGATACCGTCCTGCTAATGCAACTGTCGCTGTACCCTTCTATCTAGCTTCCTAGTTCTTGAGTGTTTGATTGTTTTATTTTATATTGTATGTGTGTATGAATTATGTAGTAAACAAAATCATTTTTAAGATTTGGTCTCCTGGTCTATTTCTGGGGATCTGAATAAATTGGACTCTAGTATACACAGGTTAATGCTCCCTTTATTTAGCCACTGCCCTTTAATATACCAATTCCCCACATTTATTAATAAATTAAGGCAATTTGGCTAACAAGGTCCCAGAATAGAATGATTGCCCCTGGGAGTAGCATAAGTGTTTTGGGCCAGGAATGACAGCTCTCAGAGTAGAATGATGGCCCCTGAGATAAGCAGAAGCATTCTGGAACTAGATTGATGGGTCCCAGGGTGGAATGATGGTCCCTGGGAGTAGCAGAAGTGTTCTCGGACTGGAATGACAGGTCCTAAGGAGGAATGATGGTCCCTGTGATTGAAATCAGCGCTCTGCACCTATAATTACAAGCCTTAGAGTAGAATAAAATACCTTACAATGATTTCAATCACAGGGACCATCACTTCACTCTTGGACATGTCATTCCAGTCCCAGAACATTCCTACTACTCTCAGGGTCTGTCATTCTACTCTGTGGGCCATCATTCCAGTCTCAGAGCGGTCTACCTTGGCCCAGGGACTTTCATCCTAAATCAGTCCCACATTTTCATTGCAACTTTTTTGTGCTGTAATGTATTTTAATAGAGTCCATGCAAGTCAATTGGCCTTCCTGGCCTTCCAGCCTCACCCACTGTTCCCAATGGGCAATCCTGTCCTTTGTTTTAGGACATCATGAAGCAAATACACACAATCCTTCCAAGCGCAAAGGAACAAGTACTGTGTGCAGACAGCAGAAAGCTGGGGAACGGAGAGGGAGGTAGGGAGGGCTTGAGAGGAACTGAGAAAGAGGTGACCCCTCGTTCACCTTCAGCTGATTCCTCCAGACTCCCTCTTCCACTAACAAGAAGCCACCACTGTGAGTGGATCCTCTGACAGCTCATTGGTCTGCAAGTGACCACCTAAGCCTCCCTGTGATGCCGGCTGTGACCAGAATAATATACTTCTTGAACAGATATGCGTCAATATAACTGAAATAATTGGCATGGAATTTGGGGAAAGTTCTTGTGGGCTTTAGTTGATGATTTTTACACAGAGCATTTTTATGACCTTATATATTACCTTCTTTTATGAGCATGGTTTTGGATTTTCAAAACAAGCTGGTAGGAAGGTAGCACAATTCAATTATATTTCCTGTCCCGTATCTTGTTTTGAGCATTCTGAGTTGTTCTGAGTCTGGAGGCATATACTAGCATATGGCTAGGACACAAGAGATTAGTGTGGGAACTTTGTGCAATATATAGCCAAAACCCTGAAGAGCTATATGGTGCCAGTGATAGGAACAATGCTTCTGTGCCAATACAAAGGCCTCTTGCCAACAACATTTGATGTGTCCATATGTTAAGCTCATTCCTATATAAGGAGTTTACAGAGTGAAATGATACTCCTAACACAGCTGTTTTCTAGCCATATTCTGAGATGACTCATTTGACCCAAACGGATGGTAAGAGTTGTTGCTGTTTATTCCAAGCCTTCTCATTAATCCCTTGGGTAAAAATAAAGCCAGCAACCCATTTGTTATTTTTGTTAGCATCCTACTGTGAAATGGTTTTCTCATAACTGCATCCCAAACTGTTGCACATTAACAAGAGTTTAGATTACCTAGGGGGTGAGACAGTACACATAGTTTTAACACGCTCCTCTTAGTACATAAAATGAAATGTTCTGCCTTGGTTTATCATACATAGTAATGTTTCTCTTCCACCATGGTGCAGTTCCAGTGATGTGACTTTTTGAAGCACCCCCTGCATGGGGAACAATTAATGACCTAATTACATAGTTTGTGGCTGATAGTTGTTGTAAGCTTCATGGTAAGAAGCCATGAACTACTGATATTTCTCATTTGTGTTTTCAGACACAATGGATGTACGAGATCCATGGCCTGCCACCACGGACCATACCACCTACAGCATCAGCAAAAGTTGTTTGTAGGAATACATATGATAAATCAACAACAGTGCAACAACGTGACTTTGTACGTGAAAATATGAAGCTGTTGTCTACTGGTGTGTCCTCAACGATCAAAGGAGCACCACTAATTTTAAGAGCAAAATAAAAACATATTGTCTTTATTTTAAACAGAAATTATATTTTGTAGAACAAATTTATTGCTAACTATTTTATAGGCATTGGATTAAAAAAATTATTTACTAGTTATGCCAGTAAACAACTGAATGTGGTCAGGAGTAGGGATGGGCATGAACTGAACCACAAAGCAAAATTCATGATTAATTTTGCCCTGTTCATGGTTCATGAACAGTGTTCCCTCTAAGCTGAGTTAGTATGATCTAGCTCAGTTTTTTAGCCTCCAGCTCGCACATTTTTGACTTAGCTCAGGAAGGATGGCTCCAGAGCAAACTAATTTATGCAGTAGCCAAATTGCAACTTTAATGCCAGTAGCTCACAAAGTAGAATTTTTGCTCACAAGACTCCACAGCTTAGAGGGAGCATTGTTCATGAACAAACGTTTGTGACAGGTTCACTGTCATGAACTTCCACAAACTTTTACAGCAGTTTGTGTGGTTCATGGTGGTTTGTGGATGGAGCAGAAAGCAGGGGGTTAAAGGGACTTCAACTCCTTTTAAACCCCTGCTTTCTGTTCCCCGCAAAAGCCACAAAAACAGCGGAGAGGTGGGAAGGTGCTCCTTGCCACTCAGCTGTCTTGGGCTGTCTTTTACATTCCCTGTACAGTTTAAAGGGACTGCACGAGACAGAGTGAAAAACAGCTGTGTGGGAGGGAGGCACTCCCCACAACACAGCTCTTTTGAGCTGTCTTCTGCAATCCCTTTAAAGTTTAAACAGACTGCACAAGGTAGCCCAAAGCATCTGAGTGGCAGGGAGCAAGCTGCTCCTCGCCACTCGGCTGTTTTTTGGGTTTTCTACAAACACTATTTAAAGGGACTGCGATCCCTTTCAATGAGGTTTGCAGGGCCACAAACAACACAAACTGGTTCAGTTCATGGACAAGCCTCCTGGCTCTGTTTGCTTTGTGGTTTGGTTCATGGTACAGCCATAAGCCACGAACTGAACCACATTTTCCAGGTTTGTGCCCATCCCTAGTCAGGAGTTTAACTGGATTTCCTCTGTCCTCATGCAATGATGATAGTGACTTAGCAATATTTTTATTTATTTTATTATTTCCTATCCCTTCAACCATAGTTTGGCAGAATTTGAAAAAGGGAAGAAAAACCAACATCAAAACAAATACATAAATCATTAAATATTACAACTAATGACCTGCCAGTAAAACACTCCACAGCATCCCAAATACCATAATACATGCATGACACTGTACTTGTTTTTGTAATAGTAATAGAGGAAAAGCAATGTGGGCCAAGTATTGCTGCGGATTTTTGTCAGGGCAGCTGAAGCGGGTACATGAAAAATCGCTGGCCATGTAAAAGTCATTTTAATAACTAAATGCATCACAATGAATACTACTGTTTTCTTTAATAGTACTACAATATTGGAGATACGCTGTAAAAATCCTTGTATTGCTTTCTATTTGCATCCTTTCTGCAAACAATCTTTAAGAAATATATGGGTGGTTTTTACAAAATGTTTCAAGGATTGGAAACAGCAAGGGCACTTGGCAGTGCATGCCCTGCAGGAAACATTTATAATGTTGATGATGTGGAACTGGTGGAGGCAACTGATTTACAGTCTGCTGTGTCAGCTTGGTTGGCAGGAGTGCAGTGAAATTATATAGGTAGCACAAGAACTGTAGAGTTCTGCCTGTAGTGTACTTGGAAGAGAAATGGAAAAAGATACTGTAAGACACATTTCAGTTTCCCAGTTATGAATACCGCTAAGATCTGGGTCAGTTCCTAACATACATTAGAACATATGCTTGTGTTTCTTCTGTACAATGATATGAGCAAGCTCCTGAAATGCTGTTTTCACCATTAAAATGTATGAGTATTATGTGGGTCCAGTGATGTATGGGTAATGATCCTAATGATGTGGTTCAGTAAGGCTGTGATCAGAAAGCATTTATTGGCATTGGGGATTGGTCTAGGATTTAAGTGCTTACATTCAGTGCATGTGATCCCCACAATAGCAAAAACTGTGCTGGTCTGCATGGAAGCCTTGGGGGAATTACACAGAAGCACATTGCCACAGACATCACAGGTTGGTGTTGTACAGAAATTCTCATTGCAATGTATCTTTTTGTTTGTGTTTGACTCCTAATGTTTCAGGTATTGTTCTAGAGAATAAACCAGTGATGCAGGAAGTTCCTAAGGTGACATATCCTTACAGTGTAGATGTCATGATTAGGAAATTCTAGATTATTTTGTGAATCTCACTTCAAGAATAAAAGTCTCCCAGACAGTGATGAACTTTTCATTGCTGTTGTTTATAAAGTACCATCTGAGTCAATTAAAATGTTGCTTGAGAATTGAGAAGATGCACAGACCAGGGCAAGAGGTTTTTTTTTCAATACATGAACCCTCAAAACACTTTCTGTAGTTGAATATAGTATGACTTGTGCTATTGGATTATGCAGTTTCTTCTGGAAACCATCCGCACACTCTAGCAGCTACAAACATTAATCCACATGTTCTCTGTTCAGCCCCACAAACAGATTCAGTACCAACACAGAACAAAACTCTGGAAAGTTAAGAATATAAGAAGAGCCTTGGTGGATCAGGCCATTGGTCCATCTAGACCAGCATTCTTTCTCACACAGTGGCCAACTAGTTCCTCTGCCGGTCCAACAATGGAGCATAGAGGCCGAGGGTTGTCTCCCGGCACTGGTATTCACATGTTTACTCCCTCTGAATGTGGAGGTTCCCTTGGTGGCTACTATTCATCATGGCTACTAGCCATCAATAGACCAATCCTCTGTGAATCTATCCAATCCCCTTTTAAAGCTGTCTATGTCTGTGGCCATCACCAAATCCTCTGGCAGCAAAATCTAGAACTCAAGCCAAGAACTGGCACTCAAATCCCCTTCTCAAAAGAGGATAATATTCCACTGTGCATGCCTTGGGGGGAGAGAAGAAGTAAGCTGCTTCTTGTTCAGTTCATTATGCCATCAACTTGAATGACAACCTCTTCCTCAGTATTGAAACTCATTCTAACTGATATCAATGTCAGCTGCATTTTTTGGGTTGGGTACCTATACATGATGTATGAAAACCTGTGACCTGGTCAACATCCTCAGTGTTGATCTCCCAGGGTGCCACTGATATTTGGGCTCAATGGAAGACATTCTTTAGCTAGGTTGTGTTTCAGTGTTACTTTTCAAAAACTGATTCCAGCATCCTCCATCATCTAAATCAGCTTACTAATTATTCCATATGTATGGACGGCACAGAGACCATAAGGAGAAAAAAATGGTTTTTCCATTCTTTGATTTGTCATATCTACAGTTGCATTCCCCTCCCCCTCCCCTCACACACTGCTGTCATAAAAATGCAACTTTGATGGGAGCTGCTAGTGGTGGTTGCCTTGAAGAATGCACAGAGAGATAGCACCTTCCGTCTTGGCAGGCATTTCACCACTAGTTCTAGAGCCCTGGAATTTTCCAGAGTTATATTCTGCATGCTGTGGCACTCATACCTGTGACTGCACAGAAGACCACTTAACTAGTTACAATTGACATGTCTTTCTGTTCCACCTTCTCAGATTGGCTAGTTCCATGCAGGTCAATTCATGAATTTAATCCTCATGCATGCTTGCACACTCTTTGTTGCATAATACCCTTGTTGTTTCCTAATGATTGAAACTCTGGCTATATATAGCTTCTGTGCTTCCCTTCATTTTATGTGGCTGAATTGAATTGTCTAACAACAATCCTATGTGATTTTGACCTGGACCTAATCTGCTGGTGTAACTTAAAGCTTCCCTGCAATGCAGCCTCCATCTTGCCAAGAGAGTTCCTGAAGACTTATACTGGGCATTACTACCAATATCTCTTACCACAACATCTCTTGAAGGAGGAGGAGGTATAATTACAAACTTTGTCTTCAGGGCCACCAAGAGCAACGGACAAAATTCCCTGGGCCCAAGTCAGCTGGAGGGCCCCTGAAGCCTTGCATCACCCTGCAATCAGAATGCATCTTAATTTAGTTTACTTCTAGTGCAGTTCTGCACTGCAGCCACAAGGAGCGCAGAGAAAGCAGATCACAGTAAACAGCAGCAGTTCTGCTTTCTGTTTACCCATCTTCTTCCAAAGGCAAACACTTGTGTATCCTGCTAAACCCATCTACCTAGCCAGCACTGAACCAAGGCAAAACTAGCCAGCATAGCTGATGGCTGCTACAGCCATTGCCAGGCTGCACCCGCCTAACGAGGTTGTTGTTTCCAGCTGTCTGTTTCCCTCTTCCTTCCCTTCCTTCTAGCTCCATAGGTTTGTCTGTTCATCCAGATCTTCCCTGTTAGCATGTTGTAGAAAACAAAAACAACTTTTCCTGTTTTCTTAATTTCTGTTCTTTGTTTCCACACCTTTTGCCTCCTTCAGTTTGCTCTCTTTTCCTTTCATGGTGCACCTTCATTTTTCTCTCCCTTTTCTTAGTACTCCCCCCCCCCCATTATTTGTCAATCTTGGTCTCAACTGCTTCTCATTCCTGGCTGGCAACTTAGAACATACTTAATAGAAGTATAGCAGCAAACCCTTGTTAATACTATGAATAGAAGCGGTGTGTGTGTGTGTGTTAATATTTCTCCATGATGTATCAAAGAATAATAATAGAATCATAGAGTTCAAAGGGGCCATATAGGCCATCTAGTCCAACCTCCTGCTCAATGCAGGGTCAGCCTTAAGCATTCCTGACAAGTGTTCATCCAGCTGCTGCTTGAAGACTGCCTGTGAGGGGGAGTTCAATAGTTCCCAGCTGAGCTCTGAGCAGGAGCAGGAGACAGAGCTGTTAGAGGGGTGAGTGTTTTTTTACTTTCAGCTGAGGGGATTCAGCTGAGGATACTGTGTGGGAGGACTGTGTTTGGGAGTGTGTGAAAGCGGTTCAGGTTTGTTAGGCACTGGGATTCTTTTTGGAACAAGAGGGAGCTGTACAGGCGAGACGGTCTCCACTTGTCCCGAGAAGGAACCAGGCT